TTCATGAATCATAATGGCAAAAGAAAATTAATACTAAGAAATAAACATTTTATGTTGTGATACCTTTATGTAATATGTAAAATGTGTGACCAAAATACCAAAACATTGTCATCATAGATCAAGCACCCCCTTCCATTGTAGCCCTTTCAGCGTAAGATCCATCAGCTTTTCGAAAGTGACAGATGCACTACACAAGCCAAATGACATGATGTGAAATTCATACATACAATCTCAAATGCTGAAAGCAGTTTGGAGCCTTCTTTCATCATCCAGCTTAACTTGCTAGTACCTGGAAGCTAGACCTAATGTGTTTAACTAATTGGTGCCTTCCAAAATATCCAGACATTCGTTTGTCTGTGGTCAATGGTAAAGCAAGAACATGGGTTACCATGTCCACCCCTCTAAAATCAACACCGAAACTTGACATACTCTCCCCCTTCCTAATAGCCACTGCTGTACACGACTAAGCACTCTTTGAAGACTGTATAATCTAATACTTTAACATCCACAGTGTTATAGAAAAGTCTACACTAGTATTGTTTGATATGGCTGCATCACCTGTATTTATACAGCAATTAATTATTGTTGCTTGACCCAATGGTCTATCTGGTCCCACAAACACATTGTCTTTTGCCAATCAACAAGTCACTAAGTTCCTGTTCATTGTGATAAATCCAAATTGTTTGCAAAATTATAAACCAATGATTTCAGATGTTATGACAACTGAGTATTTTCTCTTGAATGTGGTGTAAAAGAAGCAACCCCTAGCTGTACATCTCATTCCAGCTACTTGTACTTCATTTACCCTGCTAATGACCCTCCAGGTGGAAAATTAATAGCTAAATGTCCATAATCATAGACCAGAACAGAGATTCTGCTATCACTTGGACAGATAATTTTTTAAACAAGTGCAATATGTTTTCTGGACAAGAAACAGTGTAGTTCATCTGCTAGTTACATCACTACAGGAGACAGAGATAATGCACTAGGCTGAGTCTGCTAAACCATGAAACACCATTTGTGAATACTGTGAATCCTTTCTCAACACGCACTCATGAAATTTACTGTTTTGGAGGCTGTTCTGACAGGCACTAAACGTTTTATAGAAATACACCTCATCTGTTTTGTAGACAAAACTGATTGACAATTTCTGCAATATGTCTATTCCCAAAACTGTAATTCCTGAGCCAAGGTAAAAACACAAACAAATTCCTTCATTCTGTGGATGACATCACCAAGATCTGGTTACAGATATGTTTTTACATTCATGTTTGGTCAATCACATTTCAACAGAATAAACTATTTATCAGTTACTTAGATTGGTGACTTCTCTCAGGGTTTCTAATATAGTGTTCTGGCAGCTTTGTGTCAACCAGGAATTCACTATCACTTCTATCTATATTGGTACATACCAAGCATCATCAAGCCATACATAAGCTGTTCTGACCTTGAAGTCTTTGGACATAACCTGATTACTAACTCTCCAAACTAACCATATCTTTGATCCATTAGTTTCCAGAGCCAGAAAGGCATTTGCCTTTGTTCCTCCCGCACATTTTAGCAATCTTATTGAGAAATAAAATGTTGGTAGTTCTGTGTGTAGTGACTCCATTCCACAACCAAAGAAAGTATTTTAATCCTTCTGTCTAGAAAACTATCTTATGGAGGTATCTGTGGCACAACCATCATGAAGAGCCTTGCTCCCTCATTGGTATCCAATACAATTATGTCAAGGTGCCGATGATATACTTGCAGCTGGATAGCTAATAAGATTTCCAAAATGTATGCATCTCTGGAGGATGGTCTTGTCTAGGTACAGCCACAACAACTGTCACTGTAACGTTTCCCCACCTTTGACTCGTTCAAAGTTACCACTTTGAACCTGCCACAAGAGGTACTGCTCTGTTACAATATAGATGTCTCTAACATCAAATAACGTCACACTGCTTTACATGGCAGTACCTCCACAAACTCATCCACAAAGATATCCTCATAATATGCAGTGGGATATACCTTCCCATGCATTTAGCACAGATCATTCACATGAGCAACTAAGATCTCTGAGAGACATATCTTTCTAGTCTTGAACTTGGAATTATGGATAGGTTGGTTCTCCATCACATTAAAACATTGGTACTCAGCTACAATTGTTTCCTAGTCATTAAGCTGCTCTTCATCTAAGTGTTTAATAGAGTTAAGTGCTGGTCTAACTGGATTTAGTATCAGGCATTGTACAACCTGTCTCTTCCACCAGACATTTCAAGCAATGACCAGCCTAAAATTCTAAAGAAAGGAGTCCTCCTCAACTGTACCATTGAACTTTGGAGGAGGTATCTGTTTCACCTCACTGACAAAAATCTGTGACTTTGAAAACAAAACATCTCCAATGACTTCTCAAGCAACATGTAACAGAGGGAACTTTCATGGGTAAGTTCAGTAACCCCTGATGACAGTGTGTTAATGACGCAACGATAAGGATGCAACATTCACAACGGGTCTAACTGCACACTTAGAACACAATATGCGTGGTGAACGCGTATAAGTTCTAAGGTATTCAACCATTTAAGCGATATAAACCTGTTCACATTTTTAAGTTAAAAGAGGAATAAAACATGATATTTCTCCAAATACCACAGGTTCACGAATCTCAGACACACATCTAACGACATTTTTAGTACCAAACATAAACGAAGAGAATTTTAGTAACTATGAACATTTTAACACAATAGATGAGGGTTGACTAAAAGTTCTGAATACCTTGTGTGTGTGTGTGTAGAGGCCAACGACCCTTTTCCAGTGTAGCAAAATAAGATTCAAAATAGTGGAAATAAGCGACCCACGCCACCATTTATAACATTCCTTTTTAATTCCGGCATTGCGAGGTAGCTTTGCCAGTTTTTCACATGTAAGTATCATACTTTGTGTAAGTAACGCACGAGTTTGATGGTCTACTTGTATTGCATTTACAATTGCACAACATTGTAAGGCATTATTATCATGTACTACAAAGTAGTGAAATGGCTCGAAGTACACACTGAACGTCATATCAGTTATTAAACTAGCTTTGTTTGTAGTTAAGCACAAAGCTACAAAATGGGTTATTTGTGCTCTGTCCACTACGAGTATCGAAACCCGGTTTCTAACGTTGTAAGTCCGCAGACATACCGCTGTGCCACGGGGGAGCAAACTAGCTTTGAGTTTGCAAATCACGGCACAAAGAAGACTGAGTAAATGTACCCGAAAAGAGTTAAAGCCCACGTGTGCCGAAAAAGAAAAAAACATACACACTCCAGGTTCGTAGTAGATAAGGGACTGGAAAAGGAAGGAGGTCTTAAGCTCTCCAGATTTTAAACAATTTTTCAAATACAAGTTTTATATATATATATAAACCACATTTGTTACAGTGTAGCCTCCCCTATTATAATTTTGTAACTACGCCCATGAAGGGCCGAGCGTGGCCCAATGTTTAGCGTGTTGGTCTGTGTATCCGAGGTTCTGCGGTTCGTTATATGAATGAGTCTAATCCATTATTCGATTACATTATTTCATGTGTTTTGGGTGGTGTTGACTAACTGCCTTTCCTATAGTCTATCACTTCAAAATTAGGAACGACTAGAACAGGTAGCATTCGAGTAACTTTACTCGAAATTCAACAATTAAACAAGTGCCCGTGGTCTGTGGAATTGGTCAATCATAATTTAGGGATGAGGCTTTTACCGAATTATAGATGGGTATTCAAATAACAAGTTCAATAAAAACAAAAAAGAAAACTTTAAGTGATTAAAAAAAAGTTTATCAAAATGTATTTTTATATGAAAGAAACAGCAATATTATTTCCTATTAGGCTAAACAGTTTTAATAGGAATTATATGAAAAATAACAAATGCTAAATACAGTATTGTATTCTTCACTATTTACATGACAACCTTTGATATTTTTTAATCGATTTTAACAAGGAACAAGATGTAGTAGTGACTGATAATGTATATTAACAACGAATCTAGTTTATGGTGCTAAATTAACAAAATATATTTTAAAATAATAATAATAATCACATCACTATATATATATTGTAATTCGTTTGACGACTCTGAAATACACTAGAAATTCGCCATTTTCCGATGATTTCTAACGATAAATAACTGTAACAAACTCACCAATGGTCTTATTGCACGTGTATTTAATCTCAAACTTACTATACATATTTTAGTGCATGTGTTCAACCCCTGTGTAATGTTACAGGTAATCTAAATATTCATGGTTTTGAAATTGTTTACAATTTCTCTGTAAATATCTGAGTGATTACAATGCACTTAACTTAGGGTTCAGTTATTGATTAAATTCACGCGTACCAAATTATTCCAGCATATTTTTGTCATCCATTTCAGATTACACTTCCGCCAGAGTCATGCTTTATCAACATTTAGCTTGTTTGTAATGCTTGAACAGTATAACATTATCTGGCTGAAGAGGTAATGTATTGATCAACGTACTTTGTGGTAACAGTCACAGCTTAAATAGACAAAATGGTCTTTAACGAAAGTATATAAATGCGAATCATACAAGTACATAGATTAACTTTTTTTTTTCAACTTCAATCATTGTTGTTATATGCGATTTAAAGATGGCATGAATTAAATCATTTATTTTTGTAACTTAAAAAAAATGTTCAGAAATAGTTACTACATATTGAGTATAGATTATGCTTTTCATAAAGCATAAACGATCCTCAGTTTGATAAACATAACGAATTTTAAACGCATTGATACTAGTCTAACGTTCCATGGAAATCTTGGAAAATATACCTACATTAAAGAGATTGCAAATTTATCAAACACATGTTTTAAAAAACTCGTTGGATATAAGGCAAAAACATCGTCAACTTACTTATTATTATATATAGCTTAAATGAGTATTTAGAATACGATAAATCTTTATGTAATACAAATAAAAGTTTATCCTTATTTATCATTTATTTTGTAAGGTCGAAGTGATTAAAGATGGTGGTGTCAGAGGCATGTCCAGTGGTACCGTCAACAGAGGACGCTCTAATGGCATCATCGCCTTCTAACTCGTCAACCGAAAAGAAGAAAACAATCTTTAAAAAAAGTAAAATAGTTTCAAAACGACCTAACCATCCTCCATCAAGAAGTCCTGCTCGTCGCATTATAACCTTAATGGGCATTGTTTGTTTGATTTGCTCCTTAATTGTAGTAGGAATAGTTGTATTGGCTGTTTTATTATCAGAAACGGTTTCTACCTCTTCGAGTTCAGAAAAATCCAGAAACGAGATCATCTACTTAGTTCCTCGAGCAACACATTTCAATAACCGACCTCGAACAATTGTGATTCACCGGCAGAATAAAACATTGTCGAAACAACAGTTTTCAGAATTAACAGAACTGATTAATAACTATAATAAAGAAGATGATTCAGCTTCGAGTTTATGCAACAAAAGTAAGTCAGGCAGTCAATTTTGCTCATTTCCAGTTAGTAGAATCAGCAAAGATTGTTCTGCACAGAATAGCTTTGGTTATAACGTTAAGAAACCTTGTGTGGCGCTTGTTTTCCAGGAAGTTGATGGATGGGTTCCCGTGCCATACAAAAATACCGAATCTGATCAAATTCCTGATCAAATTGCAGACGATTATGATTCTTCTTTATTGTACATGACATGTGTCAGTAAAAGTGAATCACATGAGCAAGATATTCTTTTATCGCCGTACCAGGGTTTCCCACTTAGACATTTTCCAGCTCGCAATGTATCCCCACCAATGGTAATGTTACAAATTTTAAATCCACCAATTAGAACAGACATATTAGTCACATGCCGATTATGGGCTAGTAATATTATAGAAAATACCAAATACGGTATACCTGGCAATATAACGTTTAGTTTATGGATCTTGAGCATGTTATCAAACAATAGCACTTACAATTGACATGAAGGTAAAATAATACGATCAAATACTTTTTACAAGGCACTAACATAAACCATTTCACGCGACAACTTTCTTCAAATGTGATATAATTTTGTACAAACATGATAACAATATCATATCTTGATGAGTATTGTTCACGTAAGAAAACAATTTCCGCTTCATTCAATATCAAATTTTAGAAAAGTCAACTGTAGCAATAAAAAATGCTAAAGTGAAAACAAGTGATATATATATATATAATCTATAAATAAATTATTTTTTATTTAACCGAAGCTTTAACATGTATCTTGTTAAATAAGTTTTTCTAATGATGAGAAATCTAAAATTGTATTCAGTATGAATACGTGCTATTTAATAATTCAATTTGTATTCTTCTTTGATATAATAAAATAAATACGAGGGTATAAGACGCATATTTTGAAAAACTATAATAAAAACTTTTAAATGGTGTATATTTGTATTTCACACATTTGTTCCTGTACGTGAACATAATTATATGAAGTAATTTCCAAAATAGAATGCCACCTATTGCTTTACAAAGGAAATGCTTTCTATATATTTAAAACAATTAATAATCTCTGGTTTTCTGATTACCTTTGCAATTGTAAAAGACAAAAGAAAAAACATTAAGACCTTAAGAAAGTATTCACTTCCATTAAAATAATGTAGAATATATAATTTGACAAATAGAATGTATGTACTATACATAAATTGTAATTCTTCTTCTCCACGCAAAAAAAGGGGGGATAAAAGAAGAAAGCCGCCATGGCACTTCTAACGTTTAAGGTGAATTTAAAAAAATACTATAAATAAGCAGTGGTCTAACTGTCACCGTGGAAAATAAAGCGTAAACCAGTCATGAACATTTCTTGTAAAACAAACTGCTAAAGGTAAAAATTCAGCATTCATGCGATATTATTACAATTTGATAAGTGGGTTAGAAATTATTTTGATAATTTTCTGCTGAAAGTGGGCGTCAGCATGGAGTTCACTTTAAAGTTCATTTAAAGCAAACAATGATTAAACCTAATATTCTTTAACAGTTTGTTTCTATTCTCGCTTTCTCCATCAACAAATAGTTTAAAAAGTTTGTATTTGGTCATCAATGAATTAATGTCGCTTATTTTAGATGAAAAACTTATATATATATCAAAACAAAACATTTATTAAATGAAATAGTCTCCATTCTTACCGATGAATGAAGTCGACTTGTCAGATTCACCATAGAAAGGAAGTGCTATCACCATGATTAAACAGTGCATGATTGATGGTCAATTTAAGTTAGCAAATGGGTCAACAGGCTAGTGGTGATTGGAGCATGTGACAAACATTGAGTGGTGCCAACATACCAGTAGTTGAATACTATGTCGAGGACAAGAAAGTGAAAATCCTACGAGATACTGGGTGCAGCAGCGAAGCTGTGAGAACCAGTCTAGTATCTGATGACAAGATGATGAGCAAGGTACATCTGTGTGTGCTGATTGGTGGGACAGTGAGAAAGTTTCCCATAGTAAGAATAAAGATGGACACTCCATACTACATGGGAGACCCTGTGGTCATGTGTATGGAAGCACCCATCTACGACTTGGTGACTGGCAATATACCAGGCAGTAGAAGTTTGGAGGAACCAGACAGAAAGAATACTTATGAGGCATCTATAGTAACCACTAGAGCTCAAGAGAAGAAGAGCAGGCAAGACATCAAGACATTGTAAGTCTCAAAGAAACTGCAGAAAACACAGAAGAAAGACCCTTCACTGCAGAGATTTTGGGACACTGGCCGGGAAAAAGTGGAGCACAAGACCAAGGGAAAAGGGACCTACAGAATAGAGGACCAGAAGGGAGTGCTGTACTGAATCTATAAAGGCAGTTTTACTGGGGAAGTTAAATAGATCATAGTACCAACAAAATACCAGACTCACATTGTGAAGTTGGCTCACGAGTCAATTGTGGGAGAACACCTAGGAGTGAAGAAGATAGCAGACAGAATCACCATAAACTTCCATCCGCCAGGGTTCACTGAAGATGTGATTAGATTCTGCAGGTCATGTGACATCTGCAAAAAGGCTTTACTTAGAGAGAAAGTGGACAAGGTGCAACTAGATGCAATGCCTTTCGTAGAAGAGCCATTCAGCAAAGTAGTTGTGGACTTGATTGGACCACTAGTACCTTTATCTCACAAGGGTAACTGGTATGTGCAGACAGTAGTTGACATTACAAAACGTTAACCATAAGTCATAGCATTGCCAAAGATAGATATGGAGAGAGTAGCAGAAGTCCCCCTGAAAATGTTCTGCAGAGTAGGCTTTACAAAAGAAGTCTTGAGTGACAGAGTGACCCCGTTTATATCAGAACTGATGCAAGAGATGTACAGACTAACCAGCACTAGGGAACTCTTTGCCATCCTGTACAACCACAGATGTAATGGACTTTGGGATAGAGTGAGAGAGTCTTAAAGAGCATGCTGAAAAAGATGTGCCATGAGAAACCACGTGACTGAAACAGGTATCTGAAGGCAGTGATATTTGCTTACCAAGAAGTTCCACAAACGAGTACAGGATTTTTCACCTTCGAGTTCGGAGGAACGGTATGAGGCCCGATGCAGATATTGAAAGAACTGTGGACAGCAAATGAAGAGTCAGAAGTGAGGAACACATATCAGTACATTTTAGACCTCAGAAACCAACTGGAAAAGACCTGTCAACTAGTTCGAGAAGTTTGTATGCATCTCAAGGCAGTCAGAAGCACTTCTGTTAAAAGAAGGCCAAAGATCGAAGTTTCAAGGGCGAACAGATGGTCCTGGTTCTGCTGCCCATAGACAACAACAAATTCACCCTACAGTACAAGTACCTTTTGAAGTGCAGGAAGTGGTCAACACAATGAACTAAACGGTGAAAGACCAAGATGTACCTCGCCAATCTGTTGAAGTGGTACTTTGAGACCTAATAGAGGCAAAGATGGACATCGCAGGTGTGACTTTCATAGACACAGAACCAGAAGACAGTGACTTTGTCATAAAAGATGAAGTCCTACTAGACTTAAAACCATAGAGTGGAGATGATACAAACAAAGACATGACATCAGTGAATAACTGACTGGCAAGCAGAAGAAAGAGATACAGGATCTACTGTACCAGTACACAGATGTTTTTCACAGATAGACCAGACAAGATATACCTTGTGTAACACAAGATCGAGACCACTACCAGGGATCCAGTCAAAGTGAAGCCCTACCAGATGCCCTATGCGATGTGAGACCTGATCAAGCAAGAAGTCAATGCAATGTTAGAAAACAGAATCATTGAGCTTTCGCATTGGGCCTACTATTCACCAGCGGTAATACTGAAGGAGTGGATGGCTCAAACTGCTTCTGCATAGATTTCCAGAAGGTGAATCTTGTGACAAAGTTCGACTCCAAACCTATGGGCAACCCAGAGGCTATCATGGCGAAGCTAAATGAAGCCAAGTTCTTTACCAAGATCGACCTCAGTAAAGGTTACTGGCAGATCCCGATAGAGACAGAATCTAAAGAGAAAACACCTTTGTGACACTAGATAGGTGCTATAAATTCAAGAGGATGCCATTTGGGTTAGACAAATCAGTAGCAATATTCAGTCACCTGATTAGGAAGCTGTTGCACAAAACCACTAAAATTGAGCATTATGTGGATGAAATTCTAACTCACGAACCAGACGGAAAGGCCATCTGAAGAAACCCCAGAGAGCTGTTTGGATTATTGAGGACAGCAGGTCTGACCATCAGACTACTTAAGTGCTATATTGGCTATTCTGTGGTGGACTTTGTTGAACACCAGGTGGGCGACTGACAGATAGCAATGGAAGAGGAGAAGCTAACTTTTATACAATATGCACCAGCTCCAACGACCAAGCAGTAGGTCAGATACTTCCTGGGGTTAGCGTGATACTATAGAAAGTTCATTCCAAACTACGCTGAAGTCGCTGCACTCTGACCAACCTGATCAAGAAAGGCAACTAAACAAGGTGAAATGGGAACAATCATAGCAAATGGAATTCCAGAAGTTGAAGAACAAGTTAGGAAGTTCATCAATCCTTAGAATGCCAGATTTCAACAAATTGTTAATCGTTCAGACTGATGCATCAAACGTTGGAATTGGAGCAGTATTTCTGTAAGAACACGAAGACGGGCTGTTCCCATAATGCATGTTAGTAAAAAGCTGTTGAATAGTGAGAACTATGTGATTGAACGAGAGTATCTTCCCATATATTTACCATCCAGAAATTCCAGAACTACCTCTACAGGAAGGAGTTCATCATTCAGATGGGTCATAAGCCCCTTGCATACATCCAGAGGTGCAAAGTCGATAGTGCAAGGATCATGAGATGGGCATTGTACCTCCAGAACTATTGATTTTGCAACGAGGCCATCAAGGTGACTGCAAATGTTGGTGCAGATGATATGAGTAGACTTTCAGCGTGAACTTAGAAAAGTCTTTGTATATAGTAAAACAAATATAGTAAATATTGTTCTTGAAATGGGGCTTATTGTTAAGTATACACGACTGTTTCAGTTTAAGTTTAATGCGAGCATTATGATTTAGATAATTTATATAGCACAGGTGTCATATTTAGTTATTTTTAGAAGTGATGTTTTAAGGTAGATTTGTTTACATAGCTGTTTACAAATCATACGTTGTGTAGTTCAATTGTTTCGAATTAGCGATTGTTTACAATAGTGAGATTATTGGGTAATTTTACCAGAACTTTCTGGTTTATTTTTGGTTTAACTGAGTATCATTGCATCAGAATATATAGTATTGTGTGGAATGTTCTATACTTCTGTCGGAGTACAAATACACGTCGAAAAATCATTATTTAGCTCAAGTTCCAGGCAGCATGATCGTGAGTTTAACGATAAAGAATTTATAGTAGCGATTTTTAAAGTGAAATTATCACATAGTGTATTGTAATAACAAAGTAGAAAAGAATAATTCGTCTTGTCAGTTGTGTTCTAAGTAAATGAA